GGATTGAAAACGAGAGAGATTTCTACTTATTCATGTACTTTTTTTTCATCGCAATCATTTCTCTTACGGCAGGAAGGATTATACATTGAACCCTCAACTAACATCGAAGAAAGGAACAGAGCAAAAACACAAAGTGCTGTAGTCTTCATCTCGCTGACACAAGCTTCAGTGAATGAAAAGTTCTGGTGTATATATTAATCGCCGGCGATCCAAGATGTTTGCAGCTGTATAGAAACGTTTTACCAGCTCAGCTCGGAGATAATTAACTACTTTCTCAGTAGGCATTCTTCACAAAAATACGTCAGTCAAAATGTGCCATAGTTTATTTGATAACGGGATTTTAATCAAGTTATCCAGTTTGCTTTATTGGCAGATTTCAGTTCAATCAATACTTCGCTGCGTAAACTGAGTAACCTAAGACAAATATTTTTCAAAGGCAAAGAAAGTTAATGAGGTGAAACCAACTATGAGTAACATGACGGACGAGAAGGTCTTTGGCTAAACTTGACGGCAGTTGAGGTCCTCTCGGCTGGCTGCATCACGCTATTCTCTTTCTTTCCTGCATCTTACTGTTAGATTTCAGAAGACTATGAAGGAGGCCATACTAACAACGCTGCTGACGGATTTTTCTGAGTTCAAATAAATCGCACTATTGAATGTACAAACTCGTGTGCCTTTGATGTAAGATTTTGTTGCGTCCCGAAAGATATATGTCTCCGTGAGGGGTTTTCGCGTCTGACTTATATACTTCCGTATATTTCAAGTTGTCATAGGCTATTGTCAAATAACATTGTTGCTGACTTTCTATAAGGGTATTTTCAAGATGTCGCGATCAGAAATGATTTTTCGTCTCTTTCTTGATCAAAGTGAATTTCATAGCCGGGAAGGGTTGCGGAACATTTTAAATTCGTTTACGCGCTTATAGTGACATAATTACTGAAGATTAGCGGCAAGGCTGTAGAATACCTCTATCGAAACACAGCTGTAGGGCCTTTTTCATTTTCCTTTATTTTCAAATTTAAGGCTACTTTTGTTCAAAAGGGTGTAGGAATAAAAATCCGCCGCTGTTATTAAGTCTAGAAACGTCTTTATATATTACTGCGACATTAACTTTTAAGAACAATTCTGAGAGTTTATTATTTTCATATAGCTTTTGAGCTCTTTTAAAATGTATAGATAGATAAAGGTTATTTTCTAGGCGCCAGTGCGAAAGGGCGAGTTTCTTATGCTGTCAACTTTAAAATCCACCTACGATGATTGCCTAACTTTTTTTTCCTCCACGAAAATTTTTCTACATATTTTCCACCGTTTCTTCAGCTGTACGATTTTCATTTAACCAGGTACAGTTTGCATTAGCATCTTTTAGTGAAGTTCTTCCTCCCACGCAAATGGAAACTAGCCTTCAAAACGCAGTCATTTCAAACTGTTTTGTATCACGGCCGAATGCAATTGGTTGGAGCTTGAGTTACCGCTCGATATTTACCTGGGACTTCTCAAAGAAACTTATTCAAAGTAAGTTTTAACATTCTTCGACGAACAAAAATTTTAAGATTGTGAATATTATTATTACGGTGATTAACTCCTTTTAAGCTACCTCTATAGAAATAGAAAAAAACTTGACTGATACCTTAGGAAGTGTTAAAATCTAACATGCTCACGAGGAATATAGCCTTGGGTCATATCTGCAGGGAAACAAAAGAACATTACTCGAGAATCTGGTGTTAACCTGAATACGCTAATGTGGCGAAAGTAGATAAAGCTGGTGATACGAAATTTACATGTCTATAGCGTGTCTTATGCCTTCCTTGGTTTTTTGAAAAATTGCAGAGCTACAAGCTTTCATTATAAAAACCATCTCAAAACTTGAATACCCTAATTGTGAATACCCTAAGAAGTGTTAAAATCTAGCATGCGCACGACAGTACTCAAAAAAGTGAAGAACTGGATAACGAGAATTTTACAAAGCGGAATTCTTTTTGTCAACGAACTTGTTACTAAGTCGAACAGAATCACTTAGAATTTCAGATACTTATGTAAATAAACTATCTGGAAGAAGCCTGTCAAACATACACATTCTGATTAATGAAAATTGAATGGTTTGTTCCACGACATAGAGTCTCTTCTATTGAAGTGTCAACTATCAGTTACAGATAGCGCCGATCAAAAAGGTTAAAGCTGACACCACAATTGATACTGACTCTATATTGCGAGGTATTCTCTATCATTTCAGCCAGAACCTTATAACCTCGAAGAATTAAAACATTCTCCATTTGATGCTTGATTTTGCATTTCGCTTTATCATTCTTTGCTGCAAAGTCGAGCACCATTTTGCATTCAAATTTCATGCAGTTCAGTTTTATGCCGCTATACAGCACGACAGTTGACGTTTCATCCTGAAAGCATTTGATCGGAACCTGACTGGTTCACCAAACTGCATGACGATGGAAGTGTTATCAGTAAGGGAAAAACTGATATTTCTCAATGTCTTGAAAAACCTGCCCAGTTAAATTTGAGTAAACACTACAGGAAACAAGCTTATTCTGTTGGCGCGTCAACACGCCGGCCTGACCGTTTAAAATTTTGCGGCGCAAACTCAAATATAGTGAACGCACTTGTACGATGTGGTTACAAACTATATTGAATTCAAACATTTTATTTTGACGATAAACAATTCCGTAGCAGCTTAAACGTCTACTAAACACTAGACTCAATTCTTTTGTTCATTTTGTTTCGCTGGTACTGTCGCTCACGTTACGCCTTAGGATTCAAGTTACAGAAATTAAAAATTCCGCAAAATTCTCTATTATATAACAAGGAAGTGCTGAGATGAATCTTTTCTGATTGGTTCTTAATCGGAAACGGTCATTAACCGTGAATTTTTATTCTCGAAAACCTGCAAATTGAAAATTTGCAATTAAAACTGTAAAGAAACAAGTCCGGCAACAAGTCACCAAACGACTGATTACAATAAAGGACGACGAAAAAGAATAAGATCATTTACCAAGCAAATTTTATTTTGATCTGGAAACCTCTGAAAAAAGCAATGGCGAAAGCCAGAAGGCTATTTACGGTTTTATCAAAAAAACTGAGCCGATAAAAGCGAAGAAGATATAAAGCTTAGTGATTAAGAACGAGGAACGCTTTAGTGGTCGAACGCTCTCTAATTGCGTGCAACGGTATTGAGGTCATTGGGGATTGTATATACGAGACAAAACAAATTAAACAACAACAACAACAAAAACAACAACAAACATTTAACGCTACTCTTCCTTACACCCAATCTCTTCCGAGAGTCTACGGATGTTCATCTTCATCATTTCTAAATTTTAAGCCTCCCTTTATACGTCATAACTTTCAGTTTCTGCAAAAGTTTAAAAGGATGTTAGAGAAGCAACCTCGACTTTTTCTACGCTTATATATATATATATATATATATATATACACTTATCCTAACTCGCCTCAATTCCCCTTTTTCCCTGCAGATCTTTATATCGATATATATGGCCATCTACCATCACCAAAGAAAGAAGCAATGCGATAACCAGTGCGATGCAGTTTTCACCCTTCTGAAAAAAGCTTCAGTGCATGGTAAATTGTCGTATATACCAGGGGGTAAGTTTCTGAAGAAACTGTGGTGCTGCGTCGGTGGGAGAGTATAACATGGTAATTTAATATTATCAACTCAGTTGATAAGGTAAATTTGCCACCGAAAAGAGTTTAAAAGCCGACGTTTCGAACGTTAGCCCTTCGTCAGAGCTGTTATACTCTACCACTGACGCAGCAACACAGTTTCTTTAGAAACGTACCCTCTTCATTCATTTGTATACACGATAATTTACCGTGCACTGGAGCTTTTGTCAGCAAGATGAAAATTGCATCGCACTGGATTAGCCCTTCACTCTCCCCATCGTATACTGATGGACAAACCAAGACGAATGCAGTTGTTGAGTAGAGCTCTTCCCGCACAACTCATTGCTCAGTCATCAGTGAAAGTTCTTCCCTTTACGAACATGTTGATACTCTATGCACTCAAAATTTTTCATCAATGCTGTGGTTGTCTAATTGTAAAAGAAGTAGCACTTTACGGATCGTATATGTAATTATTTGCATTCATTGAATGGATAACTTGAATAAAAACAGTAATAACATCTTGAGTTGTTATCTTTTATCCTTTGTTTCTTTCCAACTTAATTTATTTTCATTCTTCTTCTGGTTCTTTTTCCGGTTTGCAAAGCTTGAATGATCAGTACTATGTATAATATTTTTTTATATTATTTTTTTTTATTCTCATTGAGTTCCCTCTTGTATGACATACATAAACTGTGTGCAGCTCTCATTAGCATTTTTTCATGAAGTTCTTACTCTCCCGTTCACGCAATCAATAGCATCTAGACAATTCGTATTCACTAATATCTACGGACATTACACGTAGCAAGAGTGTTAAGTTTTATCTTTCGGCTGCATACCATGGCCGATTTTGCTTCGGTGGACCCTGGAAGATCGTTCAATGTTTGCTTAAGACTGCTCAAAGTAACTCAGTCAGGGGAATCTTGTTACAATCACCGAAAATATATAACAAAAAAGACATCGTGTTAATAACACCTGAAAAAAAAAATGATGATAACGAAATATTCACTGACACGAGGAAGACGTGTTTCGCAACTAACGCCATTTCAGTATTCAGTTTTTGTTAATTTTGAAGTATTTCAGTCTTTGATTCCCGTGTAGACAGACAATTTATTTGGGGTAAAAACGAGATTTCAGAAAATGCAAAAGCTTTCATGATGTCCACCTACTTGGATACGTAGCTCTTGTAAGCTAGCAAGACAACAAAAAGAAAAAATAGATACGAACTGATACGAAACTTGTAACCCAATTGATGCATATTTAAATTTTTCTTCCTTTTTTTTGCGATCAGAGCGTTTTGTGGACTAATGTAAAATCAGCTTGTCGATCAAATGATCTTTCTTTTGAACTAAAATGTACATTTGCTCACGCTGAGAGTAAGTCAAGGGTCATCTTTAATAGCTCAATATTCATGGTCCATGTGGGGTTGAAAAAAAAAATTGAGTGATCCACTC